AAAAAAAACACAACAAGCAAGTCACATGGTCAGGACTGGCTAACAAATTCTTGTCTAACAGAAGCAAAGTGGATTGCTCTGTATCTTTAATTCTGTGACAGAGAAGCATGCCGGAAAAAGCAGAACATAGATAGTCAAACCCTAGTATCATGGAATTGTAGAGTTAGAAGAGACCCAGAGGGTTTAGGGAAGTTTTTAATATTTAATGCTGTATTGTTTTTAACACTCGATTGGAAGCCGCCCAGAGTGGCTGGGGAAACTCAGCCAGATGGGCGGGGTATAAATAATAAATTATTATTATTATTATTATGTTATTGTTATTATTATTATTCAGGAATCCCTGTCCCTGCTTACTCCAAAGAAAAGTCTTACTTTGTTCAGGGAGCTTAACTTCCAAATCAGTATGCATAGGGCTGCACCTTTTACTTGCAAACCCATGTTTGAATTATGATTATGACGATGAATTGTTTAAACGACCGAATTGCCTAAAAACCCATCCTGCGGGATTGGGAATTGTTTCTCTCCAGCAAAGTCAGAGGAAAAAGGATGTCACGGAAGATCTGGAAGTAGCGATATTAAAAATGTGTCAGTGTATGACCGAGCTTCAGAGAGAAGTAAGTTCAATTCAGTACAATCTGCAGTAAATTTCGGGAACTTCTTGGGCTTTGATATGTGTAACTTTCTGAAAAACAAATCCTTGGCTCAGCAGATATATAATCATGTGATGGTAGTTCCAACTAATTGAATCTACCACTTGAGCCTTTTTTTATATTGCAAGATATAGGTAGGTAACCATGTTGGTCTGCTGTAGTCGAAACAAAATTAAAAAATTCCTTCCAGTAGCACCTTAGGGACCAACTAAGTTTGTTATTGGTATGAGCTTTCATGTGCATGCACACAAAGAAGTATCTGAAGAAGTGTTGCATGCACACGAAAGCTCATACCAATAACAAACTTACCGTATTTTTCGTTCTATAGGACGCACCTTGTTTTAGAGGGGGAGAACAAGAAAAAAAATTCTCCCCCTCTCTGCTCAGTGCACCTTCAGCGAAGCAGCAGGAGAAACGGAGCCCCTTCCATTTCTCCTCCCGCTTGGCTGAAGGGGCGCTGCGCAGCTCTCCCTCTTTGCTGAAGCCAGGAGAGTCTGCTCCGCAGGCTTCAGGCGGCTGTCCCTGAAGCCTGGAGAGCTAGAGGGGGCGGTGCGTTTCTGAGGCTTCGCGTTGCTATCGCTGAAGCCAAGGAGCCTGCATTCGCACCATGGGGCCTTTACACATTTCCCCTTGATTTTTGGAGGGGGAAAAGTGCGTCCTATAGAGCGAAAAATACGGTAGTTGGTCTCTGTGCTACTGGAAGGATTTTTTTTAGTTTATATTGTAAGGTTATCTTGAAGTAATTACCTGCATAGAAGCCTGCTAGCATGACCTGAATACAAGAACACACATTGCTAAGTAATATTTTAGAATTCGGCCTGTCATGGCTCGGGTTCATTCTTCTTATGTAGTTTATTGCCCAGTGAATGCTCTGGTAGCACCTTGAGCTGTGGCATTATTGAACCTAAGTGCCGGTCAGGATGTTTCTGGGAGCCCCAGGTAAGCTGCTCTGAGCTCACTTTAGGAAGGACAGCTAGACATATGCATGGAAAAATAAGACACATCAGTTTACAGTTAAACACAGCTACAGTGGTGCCCATAAGGCGAATGCCTCGCAAGACAAAAACTCGCTAGACGAAAGGGTTTTTCGGTTTTGCGTTAGCTTCGCTAGGCAATTTCCCTATGGGCTTGCTTCGCAAGGCGAACGTCTTGCACTTTTTTTAAAGCCGCTTGAAGAGGTGCAGTTGCGACAGACCGTGCTTCGCAAGACGAAAAAAATCGCAAGACGAGAAAGACTCGTGGAATGGATTATTTTCGTCTTGCGAGGCACCACTGTACCAGTAATGGAGGGAAGGTGGGGTTGGAGATGCTTAACTGACCTGGGAGGTGAGTTGCTGCTGCTGACTGGGAGGGATGGTTCGGTGGGGAAGGCAGCTCAGCGCAAGTGCTCTGGTGGAGCCAATCCATTGTTCCTGTTGTTGTGCAGGCACAACAATGTCCCCAATGCGCTGCTGCCTCACCCCTCGGCTTCTGGGGAGCCAACAACAACTCCGGGAGGTTGGGCAAACATCTCTGCTCCACCACGCTCTGTGAGACTGATCGCAGTTCTTCAATTCTTTCTTTCTTTCTTCCTTCCTTCCTTCCTTCCTTCCTTCCTTCCTTCCTTCCTTCCTTCCTTCTCCTCCCCCCCAAAGCTTCACAGTGCAGCAACATCTGTCGCAGCAGACGTGATAAAATACCATTCTGACCACCTTGTTTTGAAAGCTCTGAAGATCTGCGGGACAGAAGGAAACATAGAGGCAGTTGCAGAACACAGCTGTAAGCTCTCTGAACAGAAAGAACAGTTGATTGAAGTAAGTTGGCATCGTGTTCATGAACATTTTCAAAAATGCTTTAATATTTAAAGCGGTCTTGAGTTTTTGTTGGTTTGGGGCACACCTTTGAAATTTGTGCAGGTTCCGACTCCACACACATGCCCATGCCCCCCCCCACCCCAGGGTTGGGGCATCAGTTGACTAGGCTGTTAGGCCTTGCAGTACCACGGTTCTCAAGTTTGCCTGTTCTGTGCTTTGCCTGGACTCAGGGATGGGGGAGCACATTAACGTAAAGGTAAAGGGACCCCTGACCATTAGGTCCAGTCGTGGCTGACTCTGGGGTTGCGGCGCTCATCTCGCTTTTTTGACCGAGGGAGCTGGTGTACAGCTTCCAGATCATGTGCTAAACCGCTTCTGGTGAACCAGAGCAGCGCACAGAAACGCCGTTTACCTTCCTGCCGGAGCGGTACCTGTTTATCTACTTGCACTATGACGTGCTTTCGAACTGCTAGGTTGGCAGGATCAGGGACCGAGCAACGGGAGCTCACCCTGTCGCGGGGATTCGAACCGCCAACCTTCTGATGGGCAAGTCCTAGGCTCTGTGGTTTAACCCACAGCGCCACCCTCATCCCTAACATACATAGCACAGCATTAAAAATGGTTTGCCAGAACTGGCTTAGTCATGCTGGCCACATGACCCGGAAGCTGTCTGCAGACAAACGCTGGCTCCCTCGGCCTATAGAGCGAGATGAGGAGCAACCCCAGAGTCAGTCACGACTGGATCTAATGGTCAGGGGTCCCTTTACCTTTACCTTTAAGATTAGCCTTTCGCCTGGCTACCCAGCTGCACATTTGCACCAGCTGAGGCAAAGAGAAAGGGCTAAGGGACCAGAGTTCAGGAGACAAGTGATGGAGGGGCAGGGAAGTCAATCACTCCTCCTCTCCCCTTAGCTTTTAGCCATTCAACAGAGATCCAGGTTTCCATCAGCCGTTTCTGAGTTCTAAAAGCTTTCATTTGGCACCAATGTAATTTTTACGTTGTCTTTCCAAAACAATCCCATAATTGGTAGGTGGCTTTTCCTGCTTCCTTTCCTAGATATGTCATTTATTGAGGCATGTCTCCGGAACAGAGCCGCTGGAAATTACTTGTCTACATGCAGAAGACACTTTTCACGTGACGGGGCCTCAGGTAGGTGTCATTTTTACCTTGCGGTGTTGAATGAGATGCTTTCAAGGCAGACGTGTGCTTGCGGTATCTCATTTTGGACACATCCAGCTTTGGAAACAGCACAGCTTAGGAGGCATTGAACTGCTGTGCCAGAAGCTTTTGGGTGATGACCACTAGCAACAGCTTAGCCTCTATCGCTGCTACAGATTATTTTTTTCCCTGTATCAAATTGATGAGTTCTGATGTTACCTTTTAATCAGTCCGCCTGCTCATCAGTCATTACACATTCAAGCTGATTTCCTTCATCTAGCAGTTCAAATTAAATGGATTTATACAGTGGTACCTCTGGTTACGTACTTAATTCGTTCCAGAGGTCTGTTCTTAACCTGAAACTGTTCTTAACCTGAAGCACCACTTTAGCTAATGGGGCCTCCTGCTGCCGCTGCACGATTTCTGTTCTCATCCTGAAGCAAAGTTCTTAACCTGAGGTAATATTTCTGGGTTAGCGGAATCTGTAACCTGAAGCGTATGTAACCTGAAGCGTATGTAACCCGAGGTACCACTGTATTAATGTGCATCAGTATTACTCCCAGTCTACATGGACTTTACAAAAGGAGACCAATTTAATATCTCTTTTTCTATTTCACTATCTCTTAGTTCCTTTCGTATATTATGCCATATTTTTAAGCGGCATCCTTTGTGAAGGAGCCTAGCAGTGAGCACTTTTGCAGCTGTGAACAGATTCCGTTCCAGCTCTTGGCACTCCAAACTAGTGATGTTAAATTCTCAAGAATAATCCTTTGAAGAATATTCTCGATTAATGAGAATATTAAAGAATTTTCATTTAAAATAGGAGAATATTCATTTTAATGCATTGAAAATGATATAATTTTAATGCTCTTTAAACCATTCTAAGGTGATGGCGCCAGTAATTGTCATGTTAAGGTTTGGTATAAGGAAACTCAGTAGCTGAATCATATTTTATTATTCCATTAGAACATGTACGTGTTATAGGACAAGTCAAAAAATACAATTGGCATGTTAAGGTTTGATACAAGTAAATTTGGTAATAGGCTATCTTGTGCTTCTAATAGCTCTAACACTTAATAACTGTTTTGGTGACTAAAACACAGCTTGATGAACAAAACTATATGCATACATATAAAAAAGAAGCCATTAACATTAAGTATATTATCATTATATGATAATATATTTCAGTATGTCAATCTCTGGTAAATGGCACCTTGTACCATTGAACGGCACTACAAAAACCAGTTACTGGCACTAAATAAAAATATAGAAATGTCAACTGTTTAAATCAAGGCCACTTCATATGCTGTTACACATAATTGTATAGGCCTAGGTATTTTAAAAGTATAAAGCATTAAAGCTACTTTCTGTAAAAAAAAATATCGCTGTATGGCCAAGGGTATTGAATTGCTAAGAATAAGGTCACACCAAAATAGAAAAAAGGCTATTACATATAGTTGAAATACATACAAATTCAAATGTTTATCAAATTAAATGAATAGCATTTTTAAAACTAAAAAAACTAAAAATGTTTTCTGTAGCTCACATTTCAGAACTGCCAGTGGTGAATGACACAATACCCAGTAATGTAACTGGATCAAAAAAAAAATCATTATTCATTACTTAAACTGGCAGTATCACAGCTTGACTTTGTTGATTTAAGCAGAGTCTTTGTGCCCAGCGGAAGGATGAGTAATACGTGTTACATACTCCTCAATTGCTTTATTTACAGTTCAAAGCTGGTATATTACAGAAAGACATCTTGCGTCTGCAGGAGCAGAAAAATGCATCCTCTCTCCTCAACAGCTTGGAGAGAATCACACAGTGAAAAACAGGAAACCAGTGTACGTCACATCCAGTCTCCCTTTCCCGTGAGAAACTCCAACAGTACAGACTGTGGAATGTAAAACAATGTCTTGTGACTGCAGTTGCTGCTCAGTGAGGAAATAGAAACCAACATCCTCCCCTTTCTGTGAACATCACTGGGCAGCGTGTTCGTACAGTATCAGTACAAACCCAACTTCTGCACATAGGTACAGTGTTGATCCCTTGATACAATCTTGGACAATACATCAGCAGGAATTTCATTACCTGGCATATAGGACACCGTTACGAGTCCCTTCTGAATACATTCCCTAGCATGCTGCAACTTTAATTGCAAGTGCTTTGTGCTTTGCTACAACCTTCAGACTTCAGCAAAGCCAAACATGCTTTGTTGTCCTGGTAAACCTGGATTGGACATTTGACAGGAATTTTCATATCTTTGCACAATTGTACTAACCATTCACAATCCTTAAGTGAATAAGACAGTGCATTCAGTTCAGCTTCACAAGTACTTAAGCTAACTGTTGTTTGCTTCTTGCATGACCAATCAAACAGACTCTGATTGTACATATAGCAAACTCCAGACGTACTTTTCCTGTCTGTAGCGTCACTTCCAAAACTTGCATCTGCAAATATCTCAAGACCACCAGACTTCTGATTGTTAAATCTCAGTCTGTAATGCATAGTGCCTTTCAAATACCGCGCTATGCGTTTCAGAGCTTTCCAATCCTTGACACTAGGATTGTTGACTTGTCTGCTTAGCAAATTACAGCTAACAGCAATGTCTGGTCTTGAACATCTGGCAATGACGTTTAGCTTGCCTAGCACACTCCTGTCCAGTGTAGTGTCAGAAAATGCTTCTTCAGTGTCATCTACCTGATAACCTGTTGTCATCGGTGTGTCTACAGGGTTAGCATCCATCAGATTTAGTTTGCTTAACACATCAGCAATTTTCCGTGACTGGTGTACTAGAATGTTACCATGTTGATCTCTCTCTATTTCCAGAGATAGGTAGTTGTTTACCTCACCAAGATCTTTCATGTCAAAGTGCTCTTTCAGTTGAGCTAGGGCGCTATTGTACATTGTAACATCTTTCCAAAAGAATAATAAATCATCAACATAAAACAAACAGTACAGCTTCTTTTGCCCTCCTCTTTGACAAATACACATGGATCAGCTTTCCCTTGCTGAAAACCTAGAAAACAATACTTCAGTGAGTTTTGTGTGCCAACACCGTGCACTTTGTTTGAGACCATAAAGGGATTTCTTCAGAGCACAAACAAATCCCTGTTTTACCTGTACGCCATCAGGTGGAAGCATATAAAGTGATTCATCTAGAGATCCGTACAGAAAAGCTGTATTAATATCATGGTGACTAATGTGTAGATTTTCCTCTGCAGCTAGCTTGAGCATAAGCCTAATGCTTTCATATCTCACTGTGGGTGAATAGGTCTCGTGATAGTCTTCACCTGGTACCTGTGCAAAACCTCTGGCTACCAATCTGGCTTTGTGTCTGACTATCTTGCCATTTTGATCTGTCTTCGCTTTGAAGACCCATTTGCTTCCAAGCAGTTTCATTCCTGGAACTACTGGAACTAGCTCCCATGTTTTGTTCCTTTCTAAGGAATCAAGCTCAGCCTTCATGGCATTTAACCATGGCTCAGCTTCCTTCGAATCCAAACCCTGGATTTCTTGGAAACTTGAAGGTTCAAATACCTTCTTGGAGCTTTTAACAGCTGTTACTGCTATCTTAGCAAACTCATCAGCAAATCTCTTTGGAGGTTTGCCTTTTGTGGCTCTCTGTGACCTGCAGATTAGCCTTAAGTCTTCAACACTCTCCTCTTCCTTCTTGGGAGAAAAACGACCTATTGTGAACAATGGTTCCTCCAATTCTTGATCAGAGCTTTCAGAGGGTCGCATAGAGGCTTTCGCACTCTTGAAATCCTCTGAATCACCCGATTCAGTTTCAGATTCAGACTCAGAACCTTCATCAGTGGGTGTGGGCTGTTGTGGTTGCTTTTGACTATCCTCAGTCTCATCACCGTCATCAGGATAACATTGGAAAATTCCCACATTCTCCCCCACTTTGCATTGTACTCGACACTTCTCGTGAGCTTAATTGTCTTAGAGTCAGTCATCATTATTCTGTAAGACCCTTTCTGATAACCTAGAAAGATACCATGCAATCCACGCTTGTCTAACTTGGAGTTTTGTGGTGAGCGAACCCACATGTCAGAACCAAAAATCTTCATGTGTTTAATGTATGGCTTCTTGCCAAACATCTTCTCATAGAGGTACAACCAATCGCTGAAGATAATCTGCGATTGTAACTGTAAACAAAACACGAGAGAGATTCGACCCAATAACTCTCTGGAAGATTGGCATCATGCAGCAAGGTTTTTAACCCTTGAAGCAAAGTCTGATTTGCCCGTTCCGCAAGTCCATTCTGCCATGGCGAGCGAGGACTAGACAAATCGTGTTGAATTCCTTTCTCAGTCAGAAAAGCTTCAAACTGCTGAGAAGTGAATTCCCCGCGATCACTGAAAAGAGTCTTTATCTTCTTACCATGCACATTTTCCAACCAAGCACAGAATTCCTTGAACCTAGGAAAAGCCTCCGATTTCTGCTTGAGATTGTACACAAAAATATATCTAGAAAATGCATCAATGAGAACCATGAAGTACCTATTTCCACCCCAAGAGGCGCAAGTGGTCCAACCAAATCAGCATGAACAACCTGGTATGGTTCTGTAGCTGTCCTACTAGACACCTTACCTTTCGCAGCCATTTTCACCTTGTTTGCTGCGCATGCTTTGCACTTCATGTGGTACCTGCAGGGTTTAATAGTCATACCTTCAACCAAGGCAGGCATTTTAGATACTGCCTCAAAATGCAAATGACCAAATTTGCGATGAAAATCGTGAATACATTCTGCATGCAAACTTTTGTTAGAACCTGCAATGCAACAAGTGTCATCCTGCACCACATCATCATAATACAAAACAAACAAATGATCAACATATTCTGCATGCAATACATAATCATTTTTCTTTGTGATGATGCACTTCTTGTTCTTGAAGGAAACGTCAATGTTCCGCTCATTCAGCTGTCCAACGCTGAGCAGATTATGTTTGGCTTCTGGCACGTAAAGCACATTCTGTATCGATAAGTCCAAACTGTGAAGAACAACAGTTCCGTAGCCTTTACTGGGAATAGTGTGGTCATCCGCCTGGTGAATCGCACCTTCCTGCGGTGTAAAAGACACAAACAGTTTCTTATCGTTGCACATGTGGTGGGTGGCCGCTGAATCAACAACGAAGAAAGATCTAGACGTCTTCTGGACCTCTGCAACCTTTGGAGTGAAGCGTGAAACCATAGCCTTGTGCTGCGTTGTCCTAGACACCGGACCTTTGCCTTTGCCTCGGCCTTTTCCGCGCGATGAGCTTTCGCTGCGCTGCTCTGTCTTGGCCCTGGGATGTCTGCATTCCCTCTTCATATGGCCTAGACGTCCACATGAGTAGCATTTCACTGCCTTCAAAGCTTTGGCGCCATCTGGTGGTTCCACTGCACTATGGGATGACGTCTGTGAAGACTCCCCCTTGCCCATGCAGCCAGCACCCCGGCGATCTGCTTCATTTAAAATCACGGCAGTAACAAAGTCCACTGTCAGCTGAGCAGTTGGTTGCACAGCAATTTGGGTTGCAACAGACTCCCAACCTGAACCCAAAGATTGTAGTATCATGAAAGAATACACAGCCTCTGGAAAGTTGAGTCCTCTCTGTTGCAGCTCATGTCTGAGATTTTGCATCTCCATTAGATGTAAACGCACATCTCCACCTTCAGCAAGAGCCATATTATGCAGCTTGTTAAAATAAAACATAGTGGAACCAGCTTCTGTCCTTAAGTGAGCCTCTTTCAGAGCGTCCCAAATTTCTCTGGCTGAGGTCTTATCACGCAATAGACAGAGCTCTTCTGGGGATACTATCAATGTAAGAGTTCCCCTTGCTTTGGAATCCTTAGCTTCCCATGCATCTGTAACTGGAACTGGGGGGGTTCCTGTCATCACCTCAAACAAACCCTCTTTCCGCAGAATTGCCTCTGCATACTGTACCCAGTCGCTATAATTTTTCTTGTTGAGCTTAGGAATCCTACAAGCATCCTGAAGGGCCATCATGACTCTGGCATTAGCCTTCAGCGTCATATGCTGCTTTAAATCTTGCTGCGTCACTGCTGCAGCTGCCTCATTACAAAGGCACACTTAAAAGTTACTTTCGATTTCCCCAGCATAGTGACTTGTGCCTGGGAGCCTTTGCCTACTCCCGGCAAAACCGGCTTTAAAAGTTCAAAGTCCAGCCATAAAGCCATTAATTTGAAGCTGGCAGGCTGCCCGGAGCAGTAGCACATACCTCATCAATCACTTCTACGCGCAGAGCAGATTCCTTTCCGATCCGTCCTCCCTCTGCATTCCGATCCTTTGCCGGCACTCCGATTCGACCTCTGGAGTCCATAACCACGTGTTGATTTAAGCAGAGTCTTTGTGCCCAGCGGAAGGATGAGTAATACGTGTTACATACTCCTCAATTGCTTTATTTACAGTTCAAAGCTGGTATATTACAGAAAGACATCTTGCGTCTGCAGGAGCAGAAAAATGCATCCTCTCTCCTCAACAGCTTGGAGAGAATCACACAGTGAAAAAACAGGAAACCAGTGTACGTCACATCCAGTCTCCCTTTCCCGTGAGAAACTCCAACAGTACAGACTGTGGAATGTAAAACAATGTCTTGTGACTGCAGTTGCTGCTCAGTGAGGGAAATAGAAACCAACA